CTAAACCGGCCTAAACCCTAAACCCGAACCCCTAACCCCTAAACCGCCCTAAACCCCAAGCCCTACACCGGTCCTAAACCCTGAACCCTGGTCCTCAAGCCCTGATGCCTACGTCTTTGTCCCTAAAGCCGATTTAGGGTGTAGGGTTTAGGGTTTAGGGTTTAGGGCCGAAAGTGGGTTAATAATTAGAATAGGGTTTTGGGGGTTCCTTTAGAGGGTTCCTTAAAGGGTTCTATAAGGGCTACTATAAGGAGTTTAGGGTTTAGGGGTCTCAATAATTAGAATAGGGTATTGGGGCGGTTCCTTATTTTTGTTGTAGTAGAACATCCCCCAAGCCCTATTCTACTTCTTAAGGCCCCTAAACCCTAAACCCCTTATAGTAGCCCTGATAGAACCCTTTAAGGAACCCTTGAAAGGAACCCCCCCAAGCCCTATTCTAATTTAAGGCCCCTATAGTAAACCCTGATCCTGAAACCCTAAACCCGAAACCCTAAACCCTAAACCCTAATCCCGAAACCCAGCAAGGACCAGACCGCATGATGGAGGAGTGGGCTAAGCGGTCGAAGATCTGCCGCGTAGACTGCAACGAATAGATCTCCTTCAACTGAAGGCTTTTAGGGCTTAGGGTTTAGAGCTTACATGGGGTCTAGGGCTTTAGGGTTCAGGGCATGGGGAGGAATTTGGGGTTGATTGAAGGTTTTGGGCTCAGGGATGTTTTTTGAAGGCATTGCGAGGTCGGGTTTTCGGTTTAGGTCGTAGGGATTTAAGCGTTGTTCTGGCATACTGTTCAGGGTGCATACTTTGCAGAACTGTAGACCGCGTTCATTCCTATTGTTGCTGCGATCACTTGGCTGACACTGCCGATGGTGTGCCGTGGTGCGGCTTAGGGCTTAGGGTATAGTACTGGTTAAACGGGGCCTTGCAGTTTGTAGGCCATCATGCCGCCAACAGCTGCTTTTGCATGCTGAACCTGTGGGGTTCCTCCATACGGCGTGCAACAAGGCCGACGACGACGGCGGCCGCTTCTTGTATTGCTGCCACTAGCTACTTCCACTAGCAATCGTGCATCATCATCAGCATCATCATCATCAGCATCATCAGCAGCATCATCAGCAGCATCAGCGATTCGTCATCATCGTCACGGCCATCGCCAGCGACGTCACCATCACCATCACGGCTTGAATCACCATCGTGTTTAATCATCATTAAACACCCTACCCGTACATCACCTGCAGCTGCATGAACATCATCTCCTTAGAATCACTATGGACATAAGCATCGTCATTACATCAGCATCTTCGTTACACTGGCACACTCTTTGCTCTCTTCCCGCGGGAAGCCTGCATCCCAAATCTTACATCTTAACCTGCGAACTCGAAACACCCAAACCCCACACCCTAAAATCCAAGCCCTAAGCGTTAAACACAAAACGCCTTCAACGACCACCCAAGCTTCAATCAGTCAGTCTCTGACTCCTGGGGCTTAAAGAGCTCTTCAATGAATCGTGGGTAGTACATGGTCCTCACCTCTGTGTCCAGGGCTTACAGCACAGTGATTTGGCTGTAGAGAATTACTGACCTAGTGTTTAGGTTTAGAGCTCGGGTTTTAGGATTTTGGCTGAAGCTTTGATAACCCCTAAGGGTCCATGTGCCCACATAATCGATACATTGGCCTTGAAGTAGTCCCTATGTATGTACTTTAAGGCCAATGTATATACTATGTGATTATATATGGACCCTTCGGGAACACGTAGTGCTACCTTGCTTTACATGTTCTGGTTGTGTCATGTCATGTCGCTGTTGAGCTCAGACTCAGCCCTGCCTCATACACGGTTTAGGAAACTTTTAGGGTTTGCGGCTTTAGGGCTTTAGGGGTTTAGGGTTTAGATTTTTTGTTTAGGGATTAGGGTTCAGGGATTAGAGCTACATATCCAGCTTCAAGGCAACTAGAGTCTAGAGGGTAACCTTTGATGCATAGAGGCTCATAAGTGAGATTATCATCGGTATCCTAATGTTAATGCCGTTGAAGGGATGGTGTTTTTGATCAGGGGTCGACGTAGTTGCGATTCAAACGAGTAAGACAAACTACCAAGAAGGTTGCGGGTAACATACTGGATGACTACAGTACCCCCACCCCCCCCCCCCCGAAAAAGGCAAACCCAAATTACTCAAACAAAAAAGTCGACAAGCACTGTATCCAACAACCCGAGCCCTCTGCTCATTACAACATCCTTAGCTTATCACATGCAGATGTCATACACTGAGACCCTAAACCCTAAACCCTAAACCGTGGGGCAGGACTCAGAAGTTGACTCAAGCCCTCAGATCTTGGCAAATGCGCGTGCTCTGAGAATGCCGGGCGGCCACGTCGCAAAGCACCTTCTGCCCCTTCTGGGAAGGGATCTGCTGCGCTTGCCTCGGGAACGTTGCATGGGAGCTTCTTGTTCCGACCTAACCCAAGAGACGAAAACCCAATAGGCCCTATAGCCCTGTAAGAAAGGGCCTTATAATAATTAGAATAGAGTTTTGGGGCCCATTATACTACAATCATAATAAACCCCCAAAATAGTATCCTGGTTTTTTCTTCTGATGGACTGCCGGGCCCCGGAGGGCGCCTCCATTAAAATAGTATTGGTAATTATTTAGGCCCCTACATGGGGTTTTCCGAAAATAGGGGAGCCTAATATAGTACCCTCAATAGTAGGATCCTTATTATAAGGACCCCCAAAAAGGTACCCCTAATTGTCGGAAACCCCCTAAACCCTAAACCC